AAGTTTTTTTGGTCATCCAACATTTTTTTACCGACAATTACTTAAATAATTCTCATAAAAATCAAAAATTCCAATGGTCTATAAATAATTCAAAAAGTCAAAAAATTTTGAAAATCAAACTGTATATAGATAACACTAACATAAATATTTGKTRAATATTTCAAGTATTTACAGTGATTAGTTTTTGAATTAAAACCATATAAAAAAATCAATTTGGTCAAAAACTGGTTTTGCGTAAAAATTCCCGTTTTTCTGTCATTTTTTTTTTGTTTTTCTCGATTTTTTTGAAAACTGTTGGACTTTTGACCTCTATAATGCACCAAGGATATTAACTTTTACATCGGAAACCACCCCCAAAGTTTGAAATTGAAGCATTATTTCGACTAGTTATGCTGTACACAGACACAAAAAAAAACATCATTGTAAAATCAATACATTCATCTCTTCGTTCAGAATCTAAAAAGCGGGTAGGTCGTGATTGTCGCTCTGCTGTACAGTAGGTTACAAGTGGGATATTGTAATGGATGGAATTAAATTTGAATCCAACGATATTATATCATTGTATACGAAAAACGATTCTGAGCGGAGACGGTTTTTCTGTCTAGGATATATTATAGATTATTACATATTTTAAACAAGTTTTATTTTAAACTGCTATTGTAACAATATGTTAAGAGCCTTGTATTAAATTTTCAAGCTTTTCTACCCAAAAAATAAATTTTTATCGATATTAATTTGAAAAAAACTAATAATGGTCGAAAATTGCATATGCCTATGAATAGTTCAACTTAAGTACACAATTTTTGAAAATTGCATGGTTGATAGAATATACTTAAATATACGTTCGGTGAAAATGTCATGTATGTATGGTCATTTGTTTAAAAGTTACATCAAAAACCAAAATCAATTTTGTCGAACACGGATTGTGCGTAAAATTTCCCTTTAAGATTCTGAACGAAGAGATGAATGTATTGATTTTACAATGATGTTTTTTTTGTGTCTGTGTACAGCATAACTAGTCGAAATAATGCTTCAATTTCAAACTTTGGGGGTGGTTTCCGATGTAAAAGTTAATATCCTTGG